AAGATATAAAATTCCCAAGATAATAAACAATTATAATAATGCTATGAGCGGCAATTAAGAAAAAAAAAAGAAGAAAAGATTTATTTGATGACATTATTTTTCTTTTCGTTACTTCAAAAATATTACTATCAATCTATAAATATCTCTCCAAACATAATGGTGTTTTTTTTTCATCTAAAATTCCTTCAAAAAACAATAAATACTTTTTAAAAAAAAAAAAAAAATTACGCCTTTTTTTTTTTTTTAACAAACCTTAAATTCGAGTGCAAGCGATGATTTAGTCACTATACCAACTATTATATCAAAAGCTGCAATATAATCACGATAACGATTTAAAAAATCCACCATCTTTGGCGAAACTGTCATACAGTATCGTTCAAATGTTGCCGCAAGAATGAGGAATGATGATGATGTCATTGCTATATGTGATATCGTTATCATTGGTATCATATATGCGTACCTTAATTCATTACGAATGTTAGTTATTGTAAATAAGATTATATTAATAATTTTTTTAAATTATATTCTATATCATATTTTGTATTTTATATTTCTAATTATATTTTATATAATTTTTATATTTCCAATTCGAATTATTGCAAAAACAAGACATGGAAAGAAAAAGATCTTCATCGATTAATTAAAAAATAATTATTGCTTAAATAATTTAATATGTGAAATAAAATAAGTAACCCATAAAAGAGCTACTGAATGATATTTATGGAAAATAATTGTTTTAATTAAAATGAATTAGGAAATAATATCTGGATGATACCAAGCCTGAAGTAGTAAAGGTGACATGAAATAATCAGCAAGTTGTGATATGGACATTAATGGAATGTATGCACCAGCAATCAGTATATCAAAAAATGCTAGTAAGATAAAATATAATACATAAGACTGACGATGAGATTTTCTGAAATTAATTATTTAGCAAAAATTATTTCATTATTAATTATTGGATTTAAATTATTGGCATTGTAGCATCTAAAGTTAGCATTGAAATAATGGAAAATGAAAAAAATATTTCAATATTATTTATTTATGTATTTATCTAAACATTATCATTATTATGCTATAACATATTAAAATAGTTACGAATTTTATGGTTGTTTCAAAATATTCTATAAAGGCTTACAATCTTAAGCTATCCATTATAAGCATTTTATAGAAATTATGAAGCTAATAATAATTAAACAAAATTAAAGAAAACTGTAATATATTTTCAAGAGATTTAAACATTACCAATTATTCGTTTATAAAATAATTAATGCAAACAAGAATGAAACCAAACAACATACATTATGAAATTAATCGCTTATTAACATAAACTTAATGAATTACTTTTGCTAGATTTATATGTCAACTATATTTGGCAATATATTTTTTATTATCGTTAAATAATTCGCTTAATTAATTACTTAGCATAATATTTTGAATCATATTGCTTTCTTAAAAATAGGAAAAAAAGTGGAATAATTGGAAATAAATATGAACGAATAATTTCAAGTTAAAATTAAATGATTTTAATATGTATATGATTGATTCTAAATATTTAAACTAATATTAAACAAAATAAACTTAGTGGAATAAACTTACTTAGCAATTAGTATAGCAAACAAAAATGAATTTTGTATGATAGATAGTGTTGCTACCGAAGTACCAACAACTGATACAAGCCAAAAGCGCTCATTAAGATAATTAGTCATATAATAGCTACAATTTATATCATTACGTAACACAATACTGCTATTCTCGAATTGATTCTCATCCATCTTTTCATTTATCATTCCTTTTTATGCATCCTATAATAAATATAACTAATCTTTTTTTTTTCACTAAAATATGAAATTCTTCATTGTTGAATAATTAATGAAAAATTCAATGGAGTTGTTATATCGATCAGATAGTATCAAAAAAGTGTAGAAAATATCAAGTAAAAGTTTTTCATTTTCAGGATTTATCAAGTTTGATTTCCGGAATTTATCAAGTAACTTTTTATAAAAAAAGTACAAAAAATACCTGTTCAGGATTAGACTGCTAGATTGAGATGTTAAATAGCAAAAATAATAGCAATAATAAAAGTGTGGAATTGATAATAATCGCTAATTTGCTTATCAGTAAGCATAAATCTGTAGATATTAGTTGTAGATGTAATGAATGTCAAATTAATTTACGTTTGTTAATATAATAATTACAGTTACTAATTATTGCCATCCTTAATTAGCAAATAATTTGAGGCCTATTAAGTAATCAGTAATAATATAATCACAAAGTATCTTATTTAGGTGAAAGGTGAAAAAAAAAAACTTTTTTTTTGTCACACTTCATTAAAACTTATTTTTCCTTTTGTTATTACTTGTTTTTTTTTTAAATAACTTAGCTTTTAATTATACATTAAATTGAAAATTTTTTCGATAATAATTGATCAATTAATAATTATTCTGAGCAAATCTAAAAACTACGATGACAAAAATAACACACTTACATTTGTAAAAATTAATTTTATGCAAAAATTTAACATCACAAAAATGAAGGAATGAAATAATTTAAGAAATATGCGATAAATATCTTTCGCTAAAATGAATATTATATTCATTTATTTGAATTTAAACTCATTACGCTTAAATTCACCATTTCATTGGAATCAATCATGTGTAAGATTATCAAACTGTTATGCTAGAATCATTTGAATGAAATAAGGTTGAATCTAATACGATATATTAGAACAATATTATATGTTAAGTTAATTGAAATAGAAAGCAAAAAAAAAAAAAAAAGAAAGCAAAATTCATTCCAAAATGAATAAATCAGACTAACTTTTTCATTGGATGTATGTTTTTTTTTCGTTCTGTTTTTTCTAAAAAAAAAAAAAAAGAAAAAAGAAAGAAAAAACTTACTTTTCAGTTCGTTAAAATTATATTGGACTAAATTTTTCATCATTTTAAACAAGAAGAATGTTGTTCAAAAAGTTATTTACTTATTTATTTTTTTCAAATTGTAAATTAGTTTTGCGATTTAAAAGAAAGCAGAAAGTAGTCCATTTTCTTTTGCTTCATTTCAACAAATTTTAACAAACTAAAAAGTAAATTTTTTTTTAAAAAAAAAAAAGAGAAAGGAAATATTTTACAAATATAGGCAGCTATCAATGCGGTTATCGTTGATGACAATGAATACTTTTCACTAAGTTTAAATAAATTATTTGAAATGAAAGGAAAATTTGTAAAAAGTTTTTTTTTTTTTAAAAAAAAGTTTACAGATGATATAAGAGAAAAGGAGATAGCAAAGATATTATCAAAAAAAAATTAAAGAAGAAAAGAGAAATTGTAAGAGAGAGAGAGAAAGAAAGGGGGAAAATTCTCATAGGAATTGAAATTTTTCGAAAATCGGATGTTAGATTCTGTGGTATCGTTGTGCTTCCAGTAAAGGAAATAAGATGAAAAAAGAAGAAAGAGGAAAAGAAGAAAAGAAAAGTAATAACTTTTCTGTAATTAATATAGTTTAGAAATTTTCTAGAAACTATAAATTAAAAATAAAAATTAAAATTTAACATTATTTTAATTAATCACTAATTTTTTTTTCTTTTGTTACTTTTTTCACATCATTAAGGTTAATTAGCATTGGTAAAAACTTTGCAATCTGTTATAAACAAATTATATTAGCAATTAAATTGTTTAGGAAATTCAGGAAAAATTGTAAAAAAAAAATTCTTATTTTACAAGATTTTTACATTAGAAAAAATAAAATAGCAGGAAATGAAAAAATTTTGAACTTAAAGAATGTTTTCAAATGAACGAAGCAAAAAATGGAATTAATTTTTGAATTTTAATTTACTTTTTTTTTTTTTTTATCATTCATATACGTTTCTTCCTTCTTCGCTTTAAATCCTCATTATTTTGTTACAAATAACGATTTACCTGATGACTTGAAATTTTTTTCAAAGCTTTGTTTTCCCTTTCTTTTTTTTTGTAAAAATAAAAATTGATTTGTTATTAATAAATAGTTGAGTGATAAATGTATTTTAAATTTGCTAATTATTTAAATTTTAAATTCATTAATTAAGAAGGCGAAAAATTTTTTGGTACATTTATATTCTCTATTATCATTCATACTGTACTAATGTTGCATTCACCATTACCATTTCTTAGATTTCATATTCTCATTAGAAAAAAAAAAGAAAAAAATCAAAATGTTGAGAATATTATAAAATAATTGAAATTTCATATATAAATAGAAATTAAAAAATATAACAAAATTGGACAAATTTTGTCTCTAAAAATTTTATATTCTATTTTATATTTCAAACAAGTAAAGTATTTCTGTTTATTTCTTTATTTTTCATATAAAGATATCATTATTAGAGGAATTGAAAGTGAAAGAGGAAGAATAGCTTGACATTTTTCAAATTGGAATAAATAACTTAAAATTATTTTACTCTAATTGTATCATTTTGATAAATAATATTTTTTTTTATCGAAAGGAAAAAAGAAAACTGTAATGCGCTTTTAAAATTTGAATTTTACAAAAGTTTCGGATAGAATTTGAAAAAATTTCACTTTTATTCAATTGAAATAAATATGTGAAAAATCGAAGAAAAACAGGAAAATAGAAATACTTTTGAATTGCTATTCAAAATTTAAAACACAGCCACATTTACTTCCATTTTCTAAAATTACATTTCAAACAACGGCTTCAACTTGTCCTAAATTAGAATTAAAGCTGTTCGAAATTCAAAAATAATTTAAAAAAGGCAATTATTACGAAAACGATTGCTTTAAATAATTATGAATTTTAACGAAATTTCGTTGCGGAAAAAATAAATCATCTTGTAATTTAAATTCAATTCAAAAAAAAAAACCCAATCCAAACAAACAAATACAAATATTACAACAATGACCATACCATTTTTAAACTTTGAACTTTCAACCAACAAACGATAACTTTTTATTCAAAAAAAAGAAAACGAAGAAAAGTGAGACAAAAACAAAATCATTTTCTAGAAATTATTACCGCAATATAAAAACTTAAATTAAACTGAAATAATTTAAAAATTAATAATAACTATCCTGAAGGAATAATACATTTATTTTGTAGTTTAAAATATTATAAACTAAGAAATAAAAAAAAATATGTATAGAAAATGAAACAAACAATTGAATCAAAATATAATTATACAAAATTTTCTTCAAACAAAACGAATAATAATAAAATATTTTTTGGAAGTGACAAAAGCGCTGAATAAGAAATCGAAGCGGAAATGGAAGAAACGAGAGAAGTTACAAAAACGATAAGTATTTAAGTAAAAATGATAAAAGAAATTTCATCTTCTAACCGAAATTTATTCATTTCCTATTTTCATTCTCTTCGTTTCACTTTTTTGTCCATTTTTTTAAAATACAATTCCTTCTTTTGATTCAATAATCTTTGCCGTTTACTTATCAAAAATTAATGAAACTATCTTTGTATGTTATCAAATTTAAACATGCTTAAATTTTCAAACCATAAATAACATTTTTGCATGAAATTTGAAATGATAATATTTGAATATTTAAATCCCCAAACAATCATATTTGCTGTGACAAACATTGACAGTTAGAAAATTAAAAAAAATAAATAAAGGCGAAAAAACTTCAAAACAAAGATGAAAAAGAGAGAGAAAGAGAAGAAAAAAAAAGTCTTTCTTAGCGCAACAAACATTTATTCTGTTTATTTAATATGCAGTTTTTATTTTATCCTTATAACTTAATTATGTTTTATACTTAGTTTTGGCTCAGATAGTTGTCTTTTTTTTCTTGGCCTAAGGTGACCAAATAGCCTAATGGATAAAATCTTTAATGGGAACATATTTAAACTCATCTTTTTTAAATTAAATTCTCTCTATGTTTTTTATTTTCACCAATATATTTTCGTGAATTTTTCATTTGAAATGCAAAAATGCTAATTTCATTAAGTTTGATTTATAACAAAAATTTTCCCAAAATTATTGATTAAAAGAAAAAAATTGCAAAAAAGTTATATTTTTGGTAATTTTATTTCAATTATACAAAATTATATTTTAACAATAATTTTTAATTAAATTCACAAAACAAACACTTTTTTCGCATAATATTTTATTGAGAATTTTATTGTTTTAGAGAAATTTTCACATTAGCAATCAAAATATAATTGATAATTTATTGATGTAGCAATTTTTTGAGGGACGAATAGAAGTTAATGATGATTGTTAATATAAAGTATTTCAATATTTTCCAGTATTTCTCTTCGTAAACATTTTTTTTTCTTTTGACAACACTTCATTAAGGAGTTCAAAAATTTTAAATTATTTTGAAAGTATTTCATAATGAATTTTAGTCTTTCATAAAAATTTTAAAAGGGAAAGTTTTTTCTCACATCGCTACGCTTTACAGTTATTTTATCATTATCATTTTCATTCTCTTTTAATCGATTCTAATCATTTTGCTAATTTCAATTTCAATCATTCTTAATTTTCTTATCAATTGATATTCATATGAATCTTCTGGAAACATTTTTTGAAGACAAAATTTTTAAAATAATATCATATGTATTGTAATTTTTGCATAATATAATTAAATATTTGTTGTTTTCCATTTTGCAATTTGTTCGAATCTTTTTCCCTGCATTGATAAATCTATTATCATTAATAATTTATTAATAACCTTCATTTTCATTTTTGTTTCCTTAATAATTATTTGAATTGGATTAAATTCCTTACCACATGAAGATATTATCAATGAATCCTTATCAC